GAACTAATAAACGTCATATTTTAGATCATTCTTGTCTTGTATACATGATACGTTGACATACCGTTTTATGACACAAGATACACTATTCCCAACAAAACAAAACCCAGCAGCATCATCAATAAACATAGAGGAATGCGGAATCAATAAACTTATTTCGCGATGATTGATAGCTTCGATTTTTCATTTCATAAACCACGAAACAACAATTCAACAACTTAAATGTGAGGTTGAACTTTAATAAATTTTAGAATGTTGGTAATGACCAGTTTAAATTCACGTTTACATGAGTTTTGGAACCGAACTACCAACGCTAGCTAACATTTTTTATAGCTCGAACTTAACTAGGCCGGACTAACAAGTTAGTCCGAACTGCAACTGTTTATATATGATCGAACTTATTAGTTCGATCTTGCTTAGTTCGAACTAATAGTTCATGCATGTATACGTGATAAGTAAAACCATTATGAAATCGGCCCTTATAAAGATTTACTACCTATTTAAAAACGGCTTCATCTAATTTTTTCACCTAGGATACCATTTTTTCTATATTTGAGAGAGAACTTAAGGGGTTGAAAACTTCCCCCGTATTAAACGAATTGATATAGAAAGCTAAATTGTAGCGCACAGTTTAATTTGTGAGGTTCGGCCAAAAGTGATTATTCAAAACTCATGTAAGAGTTAGTTGAAACGACCCCTCAATCTGAAAATATTTTTTATCTAAAAAAACTGGATGAAATCAATTTTATTATTTTTTGTAATTGTCATTTTTTTCTATCAATGAAATAGTTGTGGTGTCTGAGAGTAAAAATTGTGTTAAACCATTTGAAATAGAAAGCTGACTTTTAAGACCTAATAATTTTTTAACCCAAGAAGTAGCTATTTGCTATTTCGAAAAATAAAAAATTGTACTACCTTTCATTTAATTTTTGTAAATATACTATTTTCTCTACATCCCATAGGTAATAGAAGACGAATTTTCAAAAGTCACGCGTTTTTCTGGCATTTTATGTAAAATCCGTTAATACACAAATATAGACTTTTACAAGAACAATTTTTGGGAAATTAATACATTTTTACCTCATATTTTTCAGCTCTACACCGACTCCCCAATTTGCAACAATCATTATTATTATTATTATTAATTGTTATTGGTATAATTCATAATCGATAAACAATAAAAACAAAAAAAAACCTGTTGCATGTCGCACTACCCATCAACCAGTTTTAATACACCAATTTTTTGGAACCGCTAACATATTTTCCATCCGGGATAGACTGGACGAATTTCTTTTCTATTGATAGGACTGCCAATGCGTTCAGTCGATCCCCACCAAAAAAAGCCAGCTGGCTGAAGTCTGGGCATAGAAAAAATATCACTAAATATATTAGTTTTCTATGACGTCTGGGCCCTGGGCGACGGTATACTCGCGTATGGCGAAGTAACCCGAAGTCATCCTCGTCATACACAAATAGGTACACTGCGGATCATAGTTGCCAACTGGGGGGGAATTTTCCTTTTTAGAGAATTTTTAATTAAAAAAGAAAAAGGGATTTTTTGACAAAAAAAAGGGAATTTTCAGTAAAAAGCCAAAACCGAACATTGAACTTTAATTTGAGCTTTGAAACATTCAAGATTTTTAAATTAGTACGTGGTATGACCTTTTTTTTTTAGCTAATTTTATGGAAGACAGGTAAAATCACAAAATTGCCCCGGGCCTCGACGACGAAATCCTACAATCCTAAAACATAGTTGGAATGAATTTTCTCTTCGAATCGGTCTTCAATAAAAAAAATGGAAAGGGGAATTTTTAAGCTAAAAGGGAATTTTTGAAGGCTTGTGAGGGAATTTCGTTTCAGAAATGTTGGCAACACTGCTGCGGATTATTCCCCGGAAGATAGTTTGGACTGATTTGAGCGGCGTTGCGTTAGCATTTTTGCATGCCTAGCCTACGAAAGAAAAAGTTTAATACCATCGTTATAAAATATTTGTAAATATAAAATAATGAACTGAATGACTAATGGCTCAATTTCTTTGTTTCTTCTGTTTATCTTGGTGGGCACGTGCCTTGTGTCCCTTTAGAACTAGCCGCCACTGCCAGTTTTAAAAACATAACTACAAAGACACACGTATTCACTGTTCATCTACTATCACAAGCATAAAAATTAAAAATAATGATAGTTGTTGCGGCATCGACCACGTGATCCAGATTTTCACAAGCATTGTCTGGCGGCGTCGCCTTCAAATCGCTCGGCCACCCTCAGATCTTTGATCTAAAGGTACCGCCGCGCCGGGTCGGTAATACATAAACATAGGTATGCGACTGCTAAATTATATTTACTATTTAGAAAAGAAAAAGAAAAATATTGTTATTAAATAATAATAATAATAATATTCGTTTTAAGTGTTCCTTACACAGTCAATACACCTACGTATTATTGCATCAATGTCGATATTGGTCAATAAATTGATCGTCCTAGTAGTAGGTAGGTAGGTAGGAGTATTGAAACAAGGTTTCAAAATGTGTTCAAATTTTGATATTGGGGGTTTCAAAGCATGCTGATCAATAATATCGTATTAGTTTTTCTGTAAAGAATTGCCTAATATAGTTTATTGAAAAATTTACACACTTTTTCTAAAAAAAACGTGCACGCCACTGTCAAAAATTACTTTTGTTTTACTAAAAACGATGATACCAAGGGTCATCAATAATATTCCAAAGTTGGTTGAAATCGGAGAAGTAATAACCGAGATATGGAGGGGCTGAAAGGTGGGACACGCTGTATATTAGAACAAAGCAAGTTTTGGACCACACTTAAAAAAAATTTTAAAATATACCAAATCCTTTTTTAAACTGCACCCTTCGTTTTTCTTAAATACTTTAAGCCTACATGCACTCGTATCACCAAATATTGAAGGGAAAAATACCCTTCGATACTTAAAGCCTCCACACACTTGTATCACTAAATGTTGGAAGCGAATACACTTACTATTTTCAATAAGAACTAAAAGCAAACGGCCAACAATATCACAGACTTCATTTTCACCTGACTTTGTCACACCACGAAAAATTCCCTTCAGCGGAACGAAAATCTATCAGGTCTTCTGTATGTCACCACGAATATATACAACAGATAAAATGTTTATCTTGCGCCCAGACTGATTAAAACAGAGTTTACGATAGATAGCTTATCTGACTATTAATTACTGCATTTTTATTAAAGAATGGTAAACCGCAATGTTTTCTATTCGAGTTGTTTGATAAAGCAAACGATACATTTTTTATTGGCCCGCCCGGAACGGCAAGGTTGAGCGTGTAGCAACCACGCCAGTTTTGAAATGCGTTTGCGAGTGAAACAAAAGGGGTCATGCGAATACACAGTTTTCGCGTTATTGCAGCTTCCGGAGCCGGAGCCGAAGACGAAGAAAAAACTTAAAATGTGTTTTTTAAGAATCTCAAAAAATGAAAAGAGTGCCAGAGGACCTGATAGGTACGTTGTACGTTATTCTTCGATTGGGACGAATCGGAAATATGTATATCAATCGCCCATAATATAATATGGCTATATTGTGCATGGGCAAAGTTAGGTCATCAGATCTGGGATAATATAGAAAACCGTCGTTATTCTTACCGTACCTAGGGGTAGCTTGTTTAGAAGTTGTATCTGCTTACCGGCATTTTGCTTTGTTTATTATAACGTTCTTGTAGCTTTTGCTTAACCGCTAAGATGCAAATAAAACAAAAACTTGTATACATCTTTCTTTTAGATATACAGGGTGTCCTCTAATTAATGGTACACAGCAAAACCACATATTTCTTATGTCAAAATATTAGTAATTAACCAAACATACCTTAGTCCAAAAGTTGATACTAACCAAGATACAGGGCGTCAAAGTTGAAACTTTGTTTTCCTTTTTTTTTCAATAATTTCTGAATTAATTGGAATAATGGCACGAAATTAGAGACTCTGGGGTTTTTTGAGGCGAGAAAGTCGAATTTGTTCATAAATTTGACGTCACTAATAGAGGCGCCACCTATAGCACATCGAACTTGTTTCAAAGAGCACAACTATTTTTCGGTTCACTGTATCGCTTTGACTATTAAAGACATCTGATTATTCTATATTTTTTACGTAAAAAAGGTCCTCTTTGTTGAAGTCGCTAGGATTAACCGTTTTCGAGATATTTGCATCTTAATTCATCTGTGCGCCTATTAAAAACATTGAAAATTTCATATTTTTTTTTTATTAGTCGGAAAATTAAGTACCATAAGGTCTAATGTGAATAATTATTCCTATTTATTCAAAAAGTTAATTATTCACATTGACTATGGTGCTGTAATTTTCCGACTAATAAAAAATTTGAGGTTTTCAATGTTTTTAATTTTCTTATTTTACATCGAATTAAGATACCAAATATCTCGAAAACAGTTAATCTTAGCGACTTCAACGAGCCTTTTTACGTAAAAAGGTAGAATGAATCGATGTCTTCATGGTCAAAACGATACGGTGAACCACAAAATAGTTGTTTTAGCTTTGAAACAAGTTCGTGTGCTATAGAAAAAAAGTGGCACCCTCTGTGAGTGAGTTGATGAAACAAATTCACTTTCTCACCTCAAAAACCCCAGGCCTCTAATTTCGTGCCATTATTCTTTATTGCCCCCCCCCGTCAGAAATTATTGAAGGAGAAGTTTCAACTTTTACACCCTGTATCTTAGTTACTATCAACTTTTGGACTAAATATGTTTGGTTAATTACTAATATTTTGACATGAAATATGTGGTTTTGCTGTGTACATGATAATTAAGGGACACCCTATATTTAAAACAGCGATTTGTTATAATATTGATAAGGAATAAATTCTTGTTTGTCGTAATTAATTAAAAGTTAGTACCTCGTTTAAATTTAAGCATAACCGATTTTTATGTATCGCACTAAAAAGAAAAAGTACAGTTAACTTCAGATAAAACTTAATTACACAGACATTGGAAAATTAAACATGTTGACGCAGCCGAGCCTTGAACCTCAGGAACTTTGGCATTCCAATGCTCTTCCAGCTGAGCTACCGCGCTCCCACACCTCAATTCTCCTATACTTCTCAAACTACAGAGGTAGTACATTTAGTGTTAAAAGGCAGAAAAAATGTTTGGCTGTATTTGTTGGATTTCAAGAAAACTTTCGACTCAATAAATTATAACATTCCATAAGAAAAAATACACAAAAACACAAAACTGGCACAAGCTCCAAAATCATTAGTTGGGTTATAAACGTTTAACTATGACAGTTGAAACAAATAATGAATTTAGTAAAATTTTGATACTTCGAAAGGGGTTATTGCAAGGTGAATCTTTAAGACCTCTTTTGTTAGCACTTTATTTGGCTGATATTTAAAATGTCTTCTTACGAAAGGAATGCACTAAGGTTGTGTCAAAATTCTCATTGTAACTGTACTCTCATTCTGAATTAGCATTTTGGTCTAAGGTATGGAAAATTCCACAAGAACGAATACAAATGATTTTCTATAAACAGCTTTCTAGACGCAGTCCAAACTGAAACTAAAATTCTGTTACGCCTCCCGAATTTAAGTCATCAAACAGGCAATAAATAATTGGATTGTTTAACTTAAAAGGATGTATCTATTTCCAATAACTATCGAAAAAATCTAGACATCAGAAAAACTAAGTTTACCTGATTGTATAATAATTTTTATAGACATGTAAAAAGTTGCAGAACGGTCACAGAATAGACCCTTTAATTTGTAAAAATTCTCATTTTAATCATAAAATACATAAAATAATCCCAATATATACTAGTTATTAATATTATGATTAGATATGGAACCTTAATTTATTTTCTGTAATCACTGATTTATATAATAACGTAAAACCGGTGGTGATTCTCAATAATTTCGATGCCGATAGTAGACCGTGCTGCTATAAACACGACATTATTTCTTGCACTTAAAATTAAGTAAGTGGCACTGGCAACTATGCGAGAATACTGTCGAATATGTCATATATCCCTACCCTTAATAATCACCTGTCTTCGTGTAACTCTAACGTTTTAGATCCGATGTTTTGTTGGTTTTACTTTGGCGATTCAACTAAGACCATCGATATACCAAAATTCATTTTTAAAATATTTCTATTATAAATACTAACCTAATTTGCAAACAGCATATCTCAAATTTGTGACAGGACTGGATAAAAATTCTCACAGATTGCATGAAACTACTTTCTCTTAAAAGTATTGATTTAACTTGTCAGAAAACGCTAAATAAATATTTCTCTTTATCCTCCGCAAACAAGGATAATTATAGCGATAACAATAATACTTTACTCAAACAAATATTTTCTAAAGGCTTACTAATCTCCTACGATGCAAGTCTTTCCCCCATAAAGACATTTTTCTTTATATTCGCCGAAAAATTGCTATTTTTAATTTGAACGTGTTACATCTGTATATATTTGCTTATCGTTATCAGCAGTTTAAATATGACTTTTATAAAAACATTTATGGGTAAATTACAGGGCACATTTAAATATTTATATAGTGTCTATAACAACACACCTAGACCCTACAGTGCTGAATTTTATAGATTGTTGCAGCAGCTACATAATACTCATGTTAGATAAAACGATCGTGAATCATATTATTATATCCTGTATTAATATAGTAATAACTCCTAATTACATGACGATATCAATAGTAATAAAACAAGTTGTATAAATTAAACCTATATTTGTGCTATATATTTTTTCATAATTTCCAGTTTGTGCGACTTTTGCAGCTGCATCTTCATTTTCCACACTACCCTTGAGTTTGGAGTTTTCTGCGCAGTTTTTTAAGTGGTTCCCACTTAACTCAAAATGTATTTAATAGAATATCTTCTGTAGTATCTTCAGCGTCCATGGTATCTATATTTGTGTTTTAAACACATTTTTTGGTCAACATTTCGAAGAAGTCCAACGTTTCAATTTTGGCCCCCAAATAACCGGAAACACAGTTTTAGATATTTTGGAGCATATTGAAGTTTTGGTCGAATTATGACTGTCCAAATTTCGAAATTTCGACCACTTTTGACCTCTTTAATCACCGAAAACACAACTTTAGCTTTTTTGGAGCAGGCTTGTTGAGTTTATAGAATTTTGACGCCGCCACATCGCCTCGCAGAACTAGGAGTTGCTCCATTTCCAGTAAGTCCAAATTCCAATTTTGACCTCTCATATCGAGAATACCAAGTTGGTTTGGTATTTTTGGCCTTATATCTCCAAGGGTTCAATAAGGAACTGAATTTAAGATTGCAGCGCCTCCGTTTGAACTAAAGATAGACACAGAGCGTCAAATTTGCCATTTTTGTATTTTTTCTGATGTTTCTGTACGTATTTTTAAGCTATTTGTGCAAATTTGTGATTTTTTACTTTTGAATGGACAATTCTTGAAAGACACATAAGCTGTACATATAAAAACAATATCAAATTTGAACAAAAATCTTTTTTTAACTAAAAATTAGGTAAAATGTTTTCTAGTATGTTGATTTGCCTATTATTTTTTTACGAAAAACAACGTAAGAGAACCGACATTTACATAAATCCTAACACCTTTATTTTTCAGTTAAATAAAGAAAATACTACATATATTTATGTACTTAGGGTGCAATATTTCCGTTTATGTAGTTTAATTAAAATTTGACACCCCATAAAATTGCCTATAAAATCTAATTTATTCGTATTCTAAAAAACAAGTTCATCGGCATGTCCACTGGAGTTGACCGGAAATGCCAATGTTTAAATAAAGTTATTTTCATGGTACTTTATGTAGGTAGGTAACCTATCAAAATTTTTCCCTATAGAATAGGCTCAGTAGGCAATGCTTTAAAATACAAATCAAATATTTCTAACTAGTCATAATGAAAGAGTATTTAACATCATAACAATTAACAAGCATGGTAAATCGGTTTTTACTGCAGGACAGAAGGATACGACTGACGAGAAACGTTTTTATTGTCGCTTATTGCACAATAAATAGAAAATATAAGAAATACCGCTGCCTTAGGAATCTTTTTAAAAAGTAAAATTGTTGACCACAAAAACAAAAATAAAGAAAACATGTATTATTTTGTTATTCCCTGTCCTACGTGTAGGGATTTAGGGGAAGGGAAGGTAGAAATGACAAATAATGAGCTATTCAAATCTTAAACAACTTTATTTTAAACATTTACTCCCATTAATACCACAAGCAAGTTCCCAAACTGTTTCTAAACGTCATATAATATTATATTTTTTAATCCATTGGCCCCAAAAAACCTTAAAAATAATTATTACACGAATAGTTTTGTTTATTCCTCTCCTTGTAGGAGGTAAGATGAGGAAATAAGATATATTTTCGTTTAAGGAACTATTATTCTATAATTGAAACCAGGCTGTTTCACTCCTTTTAACAATTACGATTAGGAATATCTTAATAAAGACTAGGTAATTAAAATATACCATATTTTAAAAAATATATTGCCTGTCCATAATATCTTTACCCCCCACCCCTACCCATTTTTTTGCCATTCGAAATAGTGATATTTGAATTCTTCAGCCTGGTTATAACTTACTTGACAAAAAGTCCTGGAAAGCTTTTGGAACTAGAGAAGTCTAAAATAGGACTTATAAGTGGCCTCTTAACCGGTCACTATTCTCTGAGATACCACCTCAAAAAGATGGGAAAGGTCAGCATGAGGTATCTAGAACAGATTGAAATAACATCTGCCAATAAGGTCGCAAAAATAGCCCCCCGGTGAAGATTACCAATTTTTATTAGGACAGTATAAAACAGTGGTTTTCCGTTCACTACAGCTCTTGGCATTTTGTGTCTCCATGGTATTTCACGCAATCAGTCTTAATGAATTGAAGACCATAGCAAGTGCTAGTGAGTAATGAAATAGTATATTATTCAACAAGCATATAATGACAGCTGTTATTGTCGTAAATCACCCGAGTGAATAGTAGCCATTATATACGAGTAGAATACTAAACTTTGTCCACGACTATGAACCTAATTTTATTTTTATAAGTTACAATTTCAGAAAGAGGTTAAATTTTGGCGTGGTGCCATGTTTGTTTTAATTGTTTTACAAAGGTTCATGGAAAAAACTACTAGAATAAACGACATTTATCAGGACTATTGTGTCATTTTATTAAGACATCCCCATATTTTAAACAGCTAACAAACTTAAATGAAGTAAATATGACACAAATTTTGACCATTCAAATCAAATCAAAATTAACCTTTGACACATTCTTATCGCTTACTAATAAAATAAAGTATGTGGTCCGTAGGTAAATGGTTTCAAAACGTTGAGATTGCCAGTATTTGTTGCTAATACCTAGCTGATGCTTTGAAAGAACGTACAGTAGTATGCAGGTTTTGAGTGCTCATTTGAGTTATTCTTAGAAAACGTATATAGAGACAAGACTTCTCTTTTGGTTGCTACTATTTTGACATTTAAAATCTTTAGTTAAAAGTCACTAATATGATTTGTAATGAACAGTTTGCGGTCCTGTTATTCACTAGTGAATAATGAAATCATTATTCACTAGTTAATAATGGATAGCATTATTCTTGAGGAAACACATACATAATGGTTACATTATTTAACAGCCATGCACAAACATTTTTTATCCCTTTTTTTAAATTTGAGTTTAAAAGATTCACCAAGATACAATTAAAATTTATTAAAACTTCGTCACGAATTATTATGAAATTGGTATATTATTATCTTCCACTTGAAGTTGTATTTTACTGAAGTGGTATTAATATAATTATTATATAAACACCTATAGAAAAATATATATGGTTATGTAAACACAATTTAAAGATATACCTACACATTTCAAATGTCTCAGAATTAGTAATTGATTAATTGAAAATGTTTTTTATACCGAGTTCTATCCTATATAAAATTAATTATCTCGTTATTTCAAGAATAACAAAAAACTTAATAATGTGTAATTAGTCCTTCGCGGTTGATTTGTCGTAGTATTATGTATTAAGAATAGTATTTTTGAATGAGATAGATATTTTT